GGCGGGGAGCCTCAGCGGTACCGGTATGAGCGGGAGACGGGCGGCACCACGGTAGGGCCAGACGGGGGAGAAAGTGGCCTGGCCGTGGGCCGTGTTGGTGCGATTATGGGCGCGGGGGGTCCTTGCCACTTTCGCCCCCTGCACTCTCCCAGTCTCCCTCCTGGCTCTGGCTCCCCCTGCCTCCGGCCGGCCGCCCCCACTCCCTCTGTGTGACCGCCTTCCCCAGAGGGAAAGGCTCCTGACTCCTCTTGGCAGTGCTGTCGAGTGCTGCTGCTGCTGAGTGTGTGCCGGGCTCCCCCTCTTCTGGTACACCCCTTTTTCCTGGGCGGCCTTCTGAACCTTTGCACACCACTCCCCCCCCCCCTAGGCTGGCCTGGGAGGAAACATCTGTCGCGCCCCCTGGCAGCAGAAATGGGGTCATGACCTCCAGATGTGCTGGGAAACATCCAGCGCCTCCTCCTGGGGCAGCCAGGCCTTCCGGATCTGTGGGGGCGGGGTCGGTCCCTTCCCCCCAGTGACACAGGCCAGGAGGAATGTCCCGGCCTCAATGGGCCCTGTGTGAAGCTGCAGGGTGGGAGCCCAAGAACATCCCCCCCCCCAAGGCAGGGCCAGAGCCCAGCACTGGGCCAGAGCCCGGCACTGGGCCAGAGCAAAAGGCAGCCCATAGACTGGGTGAACACATTTACAGAACTCACTCATGTGCTTGGTCCCCACAGAGTAGGGGTCTGCACAGACCCACTCACGCATTCTTCCACCCCTCCTCACACACCGTAGCCCAGGCCCAAGCCTGCACGTGCCTAGAGTTTGGGGCTAGGGCCTGTATCCGCCATGCACACACATGGCTAGCTTTGCTGGCTTTACCCTCCTTTCTGTCTCAAGCATCTTGAGTGGGGGACAGGAAGAGTTAACCTCATTTTAAAGATGGCAGGCTGTGGGGTCAATGTCAGAGCTTGTTCTCGGAGTAACCAAGGTAGGAGGCACCCTGAGTTTTGGACGCCTTTATTTGCCTGGTTCTGGAAGTCCCAGCTGAGTGGTGGATGGAGCCCCTCCTCCACTCCCTTCTGGCCCAGTCCTACATGATGTCACTGGATGATGCATGAAGACTCACTAACAAATGCCTTGCAGCCCCAGTGGAGCGTCCCCAGTCCCTGCCCTAGCTGCCCACTCCATCCAGTGTTCACCTGGGTGTGGCTCCCCCTCAGGTTCTCACACAACCTTTTGCACCTGCCTCTGGCCTCGCCACATTTCCGTATTTTAGCAGGTCCCTGGGGCCTTGGTTGTCTCAGTCTTACATCCTGTGAGACCTTGAGTCTCAGCACAACACCCACGTACACAGGGACAGAAGTGAGCAGGTAACGGCTCTGTTTAGGCCCTGAAGGTTGACAGACCGGGATTCAGATCCTGGCTATGACATGGAACTGCTTCAGGCAAGAACTTATCTAGACTTCAGTATGACCTGTCACCTATCACACAGGTTCAGACTTCCCTGTCCCCATCAAGGATTCTAGGTTGACAGAGGTCCCTGTGGGTCTCAGTTGCAGCAAAGGAACCTGGTCAGCATGGCTCCCTTTCTTGCCCCCAGGTGTGGGCACCACAGCCTGTCCTCCAGGCCAGGCCGACTTAGGTCTCATGATTGAGATGTTGTGACCCCGGCACCTTCCTCAGGATGTGGGGGCCAGGCAGGGGACTGGGCCTAGTGTTGGGGCCACTTCCTGTACTGAAGGAAGTCCTCTTTCCATTCCTGCAGCCCTGCTGTCGCCCTCAGGGAACCCCTACGTCCTTGAGGTATTGAGGCTGTGAGGGCCAGGGTATTTCAACCCAGCCTCTGGGTGCTTGGCTCCTCAGGGACCCTGCAGGAAGTGGGAGGGACAGGGAGGAAGGTCTCTGGGGACAGGACGTCCTCCCTTTGTCAAATGGGCAGTACCCAGCCACCAGTGTAGCCCCGTGGGTTTCCCGTCACAGCTGAGATAAATCATCTGTCCCGTTAGGCCAGGTCTTGCTGGGGACCCTCACATCAAAGGCCATGGTGTGTGGGTTGGAACTGGGGAGCCCTGGCAGCCCTGGGTTTCCCAGGCTTCAGGACCCTCAGGGCTAAGGCCCAACAGCCTAACCCCGACCCTGCCTAGCACTAAGCCGAGGAGGGGGCTGGAAACCTCAGCCCTAGGCAGACGAGGAAGTGGCCAGGAAAGCGGAAGTGGCTTTGATGGTCTCGGAGGGGCCGGAAGCCTACCCGGGTGTTGGAGGACCAGGCTGGGGGCTGGGTTCCTGTTTTCTCCCCAGGCCCCTCTAAGCAGCCCTCTTCTTCTCAGGGCAGGAACCGCTGCCGCAACCTCAGCCTACCGGCTGGGCACCCAACACCCCAACCCGGCCACGCCGGGCGGTCCACGGG